AAAAGGGTAGCATTTCATTCTGAAAGAGTCATCTATTAACTGGAAAAAAAAAATGCCTTTTAGTTTCAAAGTTTTAAAACCACTTATCAAGCAAGGTAATAAAGTAATTGAAATGATAAAAGGTATTTGTACAAGTGAAAAATGTAACTTTTTGGTTAAGTTAGAATTTCTCCTTCATTTCATTGAAACTATAATTTCAATACTAGTATCTTCAAAAAAAAGGAAACAGTGCTATAAGCACTACTTGGTATTCCAGGGATTGTTAATGCCTATCTAAATTAATCAACCAGAAAGTGAAAACAAAGTATGTTATGACCTCCAGAATTAAATACGTGTCACCCATAAATCTGTTTCTGTTAGAAGTTACTAGATGGCAAATCTCAGGAATAAGCAGGTAGTTAGCAGAGTTTACTGTACTTTCCACTTTCCTACTTTAATGATTTTGCAACACTATAAAGCCCGGTGCCTCATTCTGGTAGGGTTTGTTCATTATTTCTCAATTGTAGCATTTTCAGATAATTGACCTTGAAACTCTGAATCTAACCGTTTATTCTTTGTGGACACAATTTATGAAATGAAATTAACCATCCAGACTGGAAGAGAGCAAAATGCTAACACTTCGTGTCTGTTGTCGTACCCCCTGGGAGCCCTAAGACAGTCTTTGTGGGAAGGCAACACCATTTTATTGAATCCTCACTTCAGGCCACTCTGCTTGACCGCACATTTAATTCTGGTTCTGACCCTGACCTTTCTTCGTGTCACTCACATACATTCAAATTTTTAAATTTAGTTTTAAAAATTAGTTACGAAATATATGTATGTATGTGTGTGTGTGTGTGTGTGTGTGTGTGTATGTGTGTGTGTGTGATATTTTTTGTTGTTGCCTACGCACTGAGGAAGAAATGAAATGTTTACATATATAACAAATGCTTTGTAAAGCTGCTATTGTTGGAAAGTACTCGGAAGGTAAATAGTAGCAGTATTTGATAGTTAAAAGAATAAAGTAATCCAAGTCTGTGACTTCCCTAGGAGATGACTGACAGAGATAAATTTTGCTGTGTTCCATTACATGATCAGTTCAATCTGCAGCTTCTGAGCATGAAGAGAAGCACAAACAAAGCTGTAATTTTATCCTAATCCAGTTCATACATTTTGTTTTGGAAAATGAAGCTGTTGAATTTTTTTTTTTTGAGATGAGCTTTTTTTGATAGAGTTTTTAGGGTAGATTTACTTTTTGCTGACTTGAACTAAAGGAAGTATCAAACCAGCATGAAGTTAAGCACACCTCTATAGAAAGTGTTCAACTGACATTGTAAAAAGTGATTTGACTATTTTAATGAATTTTATTTGTTAAAATAGCAGGTTTTTTTTAAAGTACTATTTTTATTACTTATCATGTGACTTGGAATAAACATCCCATATTTAATGTTAGAAATACCTATCCCTCATTCATCCTACATTTCACTTCTACTGTATATCAAGTATGCAAAGAAGAAGAAGTGATGACAGACTACCCAATCAACCTGTTCAGTGGTTCTGTGCCCAAACCTGCAATTAGTTTAAATAGTGAAAATACGTTACTCAATTGTCTTAGAAAAATATGCATTCTAAGACAAGAATTTTAGGAATGAGAAAATGACTACTTTTAGATATTTTAACATGAATTCCTGTCTCATGTTTTATTGATATTGGAAGAACTTCTTCATCTGCCAGTTACTGAGTATAGGTTTATTGTGTAGGGTTTAAACATTTATTGGTGTTTGACTGTTAAGACTTGATTATAAACTTAAGTGTCTTTTTCTTTTAAATGGTGTATGGACTTGGTAATAAGGTCAAAGGAGAAGAATTCTTTACAATTTATATCATCTAGTATAATGCTCTACATATAATGCAAGCACCATTTGACTTATACAGTTAAAGTGAGGATGATATAGAATGATAGACGAAGTATGGATGGCCACTCATATAGAGGAAATTTGAAGTAGAAAGGAAGAAACAAAACCCCCTATTGGATATTTAGGAAAGTACTTAAGGAAATTTATTTATATAAAATAAAAACTGAAAACAATATAAAATCTAAGAAGTAGGAAAGAATTTTTTTTTTAAATGTGCTCACACTGCTAATTTCAAACCAGTTAGAAAGTCTGAGAAAATGCTTTTTGGAGGAGATGGATTAAAAGAAGCCAAAAGGCTGGGCTTGGTGGCTCAACCTGTAATCCTAGCACTTTGGGAGGCCAAAGCAAGTGGATTGCCTGAGCCTGCGGGTTTGAGACCAGCCTAGGGAACTTGGTGATACTTCATCTCTACAATAAACCAAAAATTAGCTGAGCGTGGTAGCGTGTGCCTGTAGTTCTGGCTACTTGGAAGGCTGAGGTGGAAGGATCGCCTGAGCCCAGCAGGTTGACGCTGGGGTGGCTGTAAGCATGTCACTACACTCCAGCCTGGGTAATGGACTGAGACTCCAACTCAAAAAAAAAAAAAAAAGAAGAAGAAGCCCAAAATATAACCAGTTCCATACCCTATTCATTTAGTTTATTCATTTATTATATTGCTAATACACAGTATTAAATGGTTAAGTATATAAGTCATATATCATGTCTGTGTATATGTGTATATGTTTTTAAAACCTAAAGTTTTTTGAAAGATTGGTCAGAATAAAGGATAATGAATGCATAGACAAAGGTTTAGGGGGAGAGCCCTCTATAAAATTAAGATTTGAATTTTATTATTGGCTTGAATGTAGAGATAAAGAAAACAACCTAGAAGGCGAATCAGAATTTCAGATAAAAGGGTAAATTTTATATCTCATGGTTGAAAGGAATGAGATATAAATTTTATATCTCATAATGAAAGGAATGAGAGAGGCTTCCCTTGGATGAAGCTATTTTGCAGGAATTTCATGGTGGATTGTTTTATGTTTGATAAGCTGATAACAATAGATATTTCCCCTGGACTCTGAAAATGCCTTGGAAGTCCATTGTAATTAAGCAAATATGAGTATATGTGGGAAAGTAAAATCATAAGTTTTGTATCTGTCAAATATATTTCTTTCCCCTCATGCCATATCAGAGCATTCTTTTAACATAATGTCTTCATGGTGTTTTTTCATGTCTTTGCCCCATTTCTCATTTAAGACCTTTAACCAAATTTAACAAGCACACTATAGAAACTTCTTCCTATTTCCTGACTATTTTAAACTATTACATTATCAGTCATTTACCCTGCAGTTATTTTTTATGATGAGTGTGGAAAGTATCCCATTTCTCTTAGAAAGTCTACTGTAGTAGCCAAGTAGGAGTCAGGTGAAGCTGTTTAGAGTAGTAGTTCAGTCCTGTGCTGAAATAGGTGTGTGATATTTGGAGCAATTGTACTGTATTTACTAAATATCTGTTCAACTGAAGGAGTTCAGTCATTCAAGGCAAGTCACAAAATAACAATGCTTTTAACTGCTGAGACTCTTAATTATGTTCATGTAGATATCCCCATCAATATGCCAATTTTAAATTTATCAACATCCCTATCCTCCAGATTACTACCCCCAGCACATTGGGGAATGCAGCTGTTAGCCCACTATGGCCCATTCAGTAGGTTTCCCATGCCAGAAGTCTAGGAGCCCTGCCCTCTTACACACTCCTTTTTCCTTTCAGTCCGTCACCAAGTTCTGTCAAGTCAGCTTCCTCATCTCCAGAATCCATCCCTTCTTCTTGCATTGTTTCACAATGCATTGTCTCCTGCTACTATTCTATTCTTCATTCCAACATAAATCAGTTTTCTGAAGTGAAGTTCTTATCGTGTCATTCTCTATATTTTGGAAGTGAATCTCAGTTGTCTTCACAAGCAGATTCCTGCATACCTCACCTCCCACCCCTACTCCTCAACCACCCCCTAATCTCATATCCTCTGCATCAGCTTTCAGGTTCTTATATACTGTGTTTTCTTACTTTGTGAGGAGTGCCTTCTTGACCATCCTGCTAACATCTTAGGCCTGATTCTAACATCACTTTTTTTCCTGCCCTCTTTTCTTTTTTCTCCCTGACTTTTCCTAAAGAGTTATGTGCCCATGTTCTGTGTTCTCCTGGCTTCTTATGTGTCTAGAAAAAGAAACATTTTGAGGGCAAGGATTTTGTCTTACTTTTTATTTGCACAACATCCAGTAAGTTTGCTGAATGAATAAGTAAATAAAGATAAACAGGACACTGTGCTGCTGATTAAGTTTTGTGGCTCTAGGCAAGTTAATTAACTACTCTGGGTCTTATTTTCTTCTGTAAAAAAAATGAGAGGGTAAGACTTAAGGTGTGTCTACTCTAAGACTATTTGTTTCTTTGATATAATGTGTTAATTGGAATACTTCAGATTATCTTGCCATTTTGAGATAGGACAATTTAAGAAAAATACATGTAGAGGAGGTACAAAGTCAGTTCTTGATTATCAAAATGATAATATGAGGAACTGCTTGTTTTGTGAAAGAGCTATAATTTTTGGTTCCAGTATAGTTTCTTCTTGACACTCAGATGTTTCTGGGATTGCATCTTTTCATTATTATTATTATTATTTTTTGAGTTGGAGTCTCACTCTGTCGCCCAGACTGGAGTGC